ACCATTAGTGAAAAGGCCAGACTTCAGGGGTATCTGAGGCAGGCTTGAAACACAAGAGTCAGGGTGGCTTCTGGGTAATACCAGATGGCTAGGCCTCAGACTGACGAAGCCTCTTGGATGAGGGGCGAAACGTTTCTTTTTAACAAAAAAAACGAAGTCCAGATGACATGATTCAACCTTTTTTGTTGTTCTAGTAAATTTTCTTTACAAGTTTTTTTGTATCTGATCTCACGCATGCTGCCACTGTAGCTGACTGCTTAGTCAATCACAGTGGCAGCATGCGTCAAATTAAACAGAACAGGAAGTGGTGTCAGGTGTAACTCACTGATTTGGCACCAGCGACCAGTAAAGCCAGCCAGGCAGGAGCAGGTGAAGGAGGGGTTGCCTGTAATGCAGTCATCGATGCACTGCCCTCCGTTCAGGCACGGGCGCAGGTGTGGACACACTGATGCTGCAGGAAGATGTCAACAGAACAGGAATCCCACAAGTAACTTTAAACAGAAAAAGGATGATCTATGAACTCTTACCAGAGTTGCAGCTCCCGACTTCCACGTTTGCGTCATCTATGCGGAAGACCCATCTGCCTGGGTAGCCCACGTTGGTGGTCTCCTCAACATTGACCACATCAGCAGTGCGAGACCCAGGGATGTTGAAATAGCGCTTGCCATCTCCAGCATTAAAACCTGCCTGGGAAGAGAGCAACAAGAGGGAGACCAAACAAACAGATGAATTACAGACTAGATGTGGGATGAGAAGTAGATCCTACTGGACATGGCCAGCTGTAATCAGTGTATTTTTTTCATTCAATCTTTATTAACACAGATAAATCCTAATGAGCATCCAAGACTCATTTACAAGTGAGACCTGTTTAGAGAAACGAAAAGTGATGAAAGTGACACATGCATAGGATTTGGAGGCAAAAAAAAATTATATCAAACTCCCTCTCATTGGCCGAGGACAGAGAGCCTGAAATTGAAAAAAATACCTCGCACATAGGCACATAGTGACATTCCGCAGGGGAGGGAAGACGACAAGAGTGGTGAGCATGTCCAAGGACACTCCAGAGTCACTGTAGGAGTTCTGATAAGAATGGTATAATCAATCAGTTCCCTCTGGTGAGATCCGTAAACACTCTCGAGGAGTGCCGAGGTCGACCCAGGGCGCCAGAGAGAACCCATGAGTCCTGAAATGACGACACAGTGTTTATTCAGCCAGGCCCCTCTGATAGGTCAGCAGACTTCCTCGGTGGGTGGGGAGGGGGCAGAGCATGGAATTGACAGGGCCTCCAGGCAAATGGAGATAAGGTGGCCTGTCAAGGCCAGCTGTGGAGCCGAATTCATATAAACATTTGTTTTGGGAACAGGCAGAACTTCACTTATTTATTTATGCCTCAAGTCTTTGCTGGTCCTCACAAATCCCAAATGTTCAAATTAAGTGGACACACTGCTGGTCCATGCCTGAGAGTAATCCCCAAGATCTGATCCATCCTGCCAGTGTTCAGTTTGCAAAGCAATTAAGTCTGGGTGCTTGAGGCATGGAGCAAACCATCACATAAGGCAGGCAGCCTGACCAGAGCCAAATTTGCTGCCGACGACTTTCTTGTTTGTTGATAAACCAGGAACCAGCCGATTCCAAAAAGCAGGAAACCCGTTATCATAAATCCAATTATAAACATGTCTTCAACATCCTCGATGGACAGCAGAGATAGACACATCACCTTCCAATCGCTCCAGGAATCAATGACATATCCAGCGGCATGCGTGTCATCAGGGCAAGACAGCTCACCTGAAGCTTGTCTTCTCGACAAGAAAATTTTATCAATGGTGTTGAGAGACCAGCTGACTGGATCCATATCAATGGTGTTGAGAGACCAGCTGACTGGATCCATAGCAAAAATTTACAGTTCGGAAGATTTGTAGAGAGAGGCTCTGAAGTTTCACAGACAGGACAGAGCAAAAGCAAAGCGGAGAAGGGAGAGGAGGGGAAATGCATACGCCCTTGACAAGAGCAAGTGGTGAAGTGAGGGTGGAGATAATCAAATGTTCTTACCTGCGCTGCAATGCCCCCCAGCCCATACAGGTCGCCCCCACTGCTTGCATGCCTGCCTGTTGTCCAAGTGATGTTATTGTACTGGAATATAGTGAACGAAAATTCTCCGTCTGTAATCAGCACCACTTGGAAAGTGTTAATCTGCAGAGAAGAGGAATAGCTTTAGGTAAAACAGTCATCAAAATTATTATAAATAGGATATTTATTAACCATATAGATTTTAAGACGTAGTTATATTAAATGAAACTTAAGGGCATTGTTTTTAGTACATTTGATTGAGCATCACACCAGCAGAGCTCTCATTGCCCAATTTTACAATTTTATTTTGGGCCACCAGTTCTTGTGAAGTGACCACTTTTAAAGATTATTTCTCCATATTACAAACATTTAAGGCCCAAATTTAGTTTTTCATTACCATGACAATTTCCCAAGTGTGTTTAGAGGATGATAGCGTTTACATTTTGTAGTTTATGCCAAAAGTCCCCAGCCCTGGTCCTTGTGGCCTACAGACCTGCATGTTTTAGATGTTTCCCTGCTTCAACACATCTGGCTGAAATGAGCGAGTCATGACAGGCTTCTTCTAAACTTAGTGACATTCTGAACAGGTTATTCAAATATTAGAATAAGATGTGTTGAAGCAGAAAAACAGCTAAAACAAGCAGAACAGTGGACCACGAGGGTTGGGACCTCTGGATACAGCTTCTTGTTCATCATACATCTTTAAATTACTGTTAATTATTTAAAACCCAATTCTTTTGTTTACTGAAAGTTAAAGACACATGCATGTTGTCCAATATTTAATAGTTTGTGATTATTTTGTAAATAAGTGTTTTTACATGAATATAAATATGTATTAATGATGTTTCTGTTGCAGCATGGTGGCGCAACTGGTAGAGCTGCTGCCTCTCAGCGAACAGGTCCCTGGTTCAAATCCTGGTCCGGGGGCCATGCTGGGTGGAGTTTGCATGTTCTCTCCGTGCATGCGTAGGTTTTCTCCGGGTACTCTGGTTTCCTCCCACAGACCAAAAACATGCATGTTACACTGATTGGTAACTCTAAATTGTCCCTAGGTGTGAGTGAGAGAGTGAATGGTTGTTTGTCTCGTTTGTCTCTATGTGGCCCTGTGATGGACTGGAGACTTGTCCAGGGTGTACCCCGCCCCTCGCACAGTGATTGCTGGACATGGGCACCAGCAACCCCTGTGACCCAAAATGGAAGAAGTGGATAAAAGATAATGGATGGATGGATGTTTCTGTTCTGATTATATTTTGAGATTATTTAAAAATCTGTATTGTCAAACAAGTGTTTGTCACGTGAATGAATTCAAATTCAAACAAATTTACTAGTTTAATGAAAGGTGGTGGCTCAAAACCCTCACAAAGCATTGCTGCATCAATGTCCTCAGTCACTGAGGGATTTCAATTGTGAATGTTTGTAGTTTTCAAGATCAGTTATTTTGGCCTGGAACTGAAAACAGAATTTAAGTAATCAATGTTTTTGGCACACAATGTTCAAGTGGGTAAGAGTTACACAGTGTAGAAGAAGTGAGTTGGGTTTTGTCTTGTCCGAAGCAGTGTGGAGTGACAGATCCTGGTGAGTGGAGGGAGTGATTTTATCCACCACCAGGTGCAATGGAGGAGCCAGGGGGTGGCCAACGGTGGCCTTGTCATCATAGATTAATGTTTGGCCACCACAATCATATGAGAAAACTATACTTTTAAGCAATTTAAAAACTAGAAAGCATATTTTACTTTAATGTTATATATATATATATATATATATATATGTATATATATATATATATATATATATGGCCACCCCATGTGTGTGTGTGTGTGTGTGTGTGTGTGTGTGATGGTGGCCATTTTGGATTTTGACGTGACAGCCCAAATCTCAACAGAGACATTTCTTCCAGCCACACACAAAAATGTATTTTGGTACCTCACTATTATTATTAATAATAATAATAATACATTTCATTTGTAGGTGCCTTTCATGGTACTCAAGGTCACCTTACATAGGCTAGCATAAAAACAGACACAATATTATTTTTCAGTTATCAAGCTCACAAGCTGGTTGGACAGACAGACTGAGGGTATTTCAAAGTCCCGTCTTTGCTCTGCAATCAATCAACCTTTATTTATACAGGTAAATCCCATTGAGCAATGGGGGACTACAAATGTGTACCACGGAGTCTTTGTCAGTGTGTATTTGCCATTTTTACCAAACATTCTATTCTTGATCCAGCACCTACTCCTGTTGATTTTGGATGTACATGTTATTTCTACAATTTCTAGAAGAAAAATATGTAAATAAAAGTTAAAAAGTAGTTTTTAAAAAAAAAAAAGATTTTAAGATTATCACTGTCAAATGTTAACATTTGTTTAGTTTGGTGTAACTATCACCAGCTACCAGTAAAGGCACAACTTAAAAGCACCTTTTTGGAGTTGGTCTGATTTAAGACCCTCACAATAAAATGATCTTTGTTTAAAACTTGGGCATGTCAAGAGGCAGGCAAAGTTCTTTAAGGGACAGATAGCTTTATTAAACAAAGGTTGATGACTGCATCCTATTACATTAACACTGAATAAATATATGCCAGTTTGAACTAAAAGCATATTTTGATTATATTTCTGCACCCCTGCTATTTATTTAAACTTTTGTTTCCATTGTTTAAAGACTTGGGATAGACTGATTGTTGTATTTCTACAAGAAGAATCTGCTAATTCAGCTTAATTTCAGCTGTTCGTTGTCAAGGGAATGTGCTCTATTTGGACTCATCAAGCTCCATAATTTTCACTGCTCTTTTATTGATATTTGTGAATGATGTTAAAATGTTCCATGGTCCTTACTCTATGTAATAATCAGTCTTCATGTGATCGGTCAGTAAAGGGACAGAAAGAGCTACTAAGGTCTGATTAGTAAGATTACAGTGATATATTTCTTTGAAAGCCCATGAGAGCTACTGGTCTTCCAGATGTGCTCCCACTTCTGACTGCAGCTGGGTTCTGAGAAAGTTGGACAGGGTGGGGAGGGGATGGGGTCTGGCGGCTAGAAGTTTCTGCAAAACTGATTTTTCTGTTCAGGAAGACAGAACGAGTCAGAACCTCGGACAGATGAAAGCATTGATAAGTTGTACTTGTAAATGCATTGATCTTCTGTGACTGCTGGCTGTTCTCCAAAGCTTTGTAAATAAATATGATGAAGCCTACACCTGGTTGTTTGGGGAATCACTTTTGCTCCACAAGTTTTTTTTAACAGTGTAGCAATTGTTGCATCATTAAAAGATGAAAGATGATGGCTTCATGAAGGTCAATGAAGCCACACTATTGAAAATCTTGCTAAATGAGATCTGCCATTGGTCTGCTGAGATAAATGATCTCCAAGGAAAACGGTCTTAATGGTGGCACGTTGGTCTGAAATGTCAACGTTCACCTCTCCGCTGACAGCATCTTTACACAAATCAGACATGACTGTAGATGCACCACCTATATAATCATAAATGCATCTTTATACTATCCAGCTGGTTTATTTAATTATCAGTACCAAGAACCAGCCTCTTACTTTAAACAAAAACCACTGAAACATGAACTCATCCAGCAAGAGAACTTGTAGTCAAGCAGCAGCTCTGTACAAAGTTTAGTTATGTCTACCATCTTCTGTTAAACATTGTGGTAACATTTCTGTGAAGTCCGAGTTGACTAACAATACATTTTCAATAGAAGTTAAGACTATTGGATGATGATGACGATGGTGTGATGTTTTTTATGCAGTGTTTCCTGAAAGTCCAAAGCTCATCTGCTCCCAGCGGTTTTGGACTGATTTCTTACAATTTGTTGAATCTGTTCACAATATTTTAGGCTAGAAACACACAACAACTTAGAGTTGTAATTTTACACTGAAACAGTTTTTAGTTTTAGTTTTTGGAACTGACTGATTATTACTTGTGAAAATCTTGTTTTCACACATATTGTAAATAGTCTACACTGCTACAGAATATGTTCACCTCATTCAAGTTCTGCAAGGTGCTCTAAAAGCTATTTCTTATTCACCAATTCAAACATATTCTTTCATTGCCTTTTGCTCCATCATTACACAATACATATATACTGTACATATAATATAAACAGTATACAGCACTTCTGTATTCCCATTTAAACTTTTGTAAGCATATTGAGGCTATCGTTAGGGATACAGTGTTTGCCAAAAGACACTGATAATCTGAACCACATGATTAACAAGCTTGGTTATGCATAAAATGAACATCTGCACAAAATAAGTTGCACATCTGTAGTCACTGTTCAATTCAGATTCAGTTCAATTCAGTTTATTTAAATAGTCACAACAGAAGTTGTCTCAGGGCACTGTTCATTGTACATTACAAGTACATCAGGCGAGGGCACCAGGACTTATAAACTTTGATGTGACTACTCTTTTGCATATTTAAATACAAACCCCTAAATTTTTTCTTCATGATAACCACATTTTACATCTTTTTATTTCTTCTACTAGGGTGTTTATTGTCTTTTTCCACAAAAACTTGTAAGTGGTGAAACAGTAAGTTAGGCCCCTTTCCTTTGACATTCAGGTCTCTTTAAAGTTTTAGCGACTGCTGGCATAAAAAAATAATAATTTGTATGCCTCTTTTATGATTGTGTATTGTTGTCGTCCACTGTTGTCATCACTCTTTGTTAATGAAATCAGGTCTCTCTTGTAAATGAGTCCCGAGACTCAATGGGATTAACCTGTAGAAATGAATGTTGAATGAATGAATAATTAGAGACTGCAGGCAAGAGAAGTTAAATGATGTTGGTGCATTTCAACTTGGAGGGGCAAGAATGAGAGGAGATACAGCACCTGTTATTCTGTGTATGTATGATTCATTTTGTGCAAATATTAATTACCACTGAGCTAAAACAACCTGGACACTGTCAGTGTGGTCTACTATAATTTCTACTTAACTGATTTAATTTGTTTCTAAAAATCAAACCAGTTGGGATATTTTTGGTATTATTGTAGATACTTTTGACTTGATAAAATATTGTCTTACACAATCTTTTCACAGTTCTCCAAACATGACAACGTGTCCCATATTGGGAATATTTGTAGAAAACCTCTAGACATTTTGTACATTAACAACATGGGAACAATTGTGAATTTATACCGGGCTTTTTGAGTTTCCTCCAAAGAAAGTAACTTGATGCCATGTTGAAATGAGAACCCATGTTGCATTGAAGGCAGGGAACTCTGAGAAATATGTCCTGACGTCACCTGAAGCCCTCCTCAGGATGGATAGGTCCTGGCTCTCTCTGTAGAAGACTTTCCCTGCTCGACGGTTGTCCACATCGGCCCAGAACGCCGCCACAACCCTTCTGTCCCCGGAAATCGGAAACGCTACAGGTGTGAACTGAGAGACCTCCCTCAAAAAAGACACAAGGCCGTTGTTGTTAACCTGGGGAGGACAAGAAATAAAATACACCAACAGTGTCATGTCAGACGTAATCTCTGTGGTTTGTTTACAGGATTAGGTGGACTTGGAGTAAAAGTGCTGAGGAGGGCAGGTAAACGTGGCCAGTTTCCTAACCTCAGAGTAAATTAGTCAGCAAAAACACTCATAATGAATGTTTACACTTCCTACAAAGCAAACGGATGTGACTTTTTATTTGAACGATGACAGCAGCTGAGAAAACCTGCTTTTTGCTGCTCAGGCACCTGCAACGTCATTACACAAGGAAGAGCATTGGCAGTTTTTCAGTCTGCCAAAAGGAGAGTAACCAAATAAATGGCTTTAGGATTCCTTTGAGGGAAATGAATCATGTTATTTTGCAGCATGAAAAATAACTTTCTGAAAATCTACTTTCAAAGGAAAAAAGATTATTTTTTTAATTGACCAAAGAAGAGTCTGATGGACCGATGAGTCATTTGACAGGAAATACAACACAACAATAATGAATAAAAGTGCAAAATGCTCAATAGAACTGCAGTGGTGGACAGTCCATGGGGGCAGGGCACCTAAAAAAGATTCACCCTGCAAAGTAGTTCCTCCTAATAAATATGTAATAATGTAAATTACTTATTTACTGTGCTTGCTGTGTATTGTTGTGTTCTGTGCGTTTTCCAACTATTTTAATAATTTTAAGTGGAATTTAAAATTATTTTTAGTGATTCATCCTCAGTTTTTTTTTTACTTATTTATTGTTATGGGGAGTACCATTCAATTCAATGACCTGCTTTTGTCATGCAAATCCAAACAGGCAGGTCCAATAGTTTATTTTGTGTGTGTGTGTGTGTGTATGTGTGTGTGTGTGGGGGGGGGGGGGGGTCTGATTTTCTGCCCTGTGGACACATTCAACTGGTTTGAGCACATTGACCTCTACCTAGACCTGACGTGAGCTCAAACCCATGAACAGCTGCAGTGAAACCTGCTGAGGCCAACAGTGGAGATATTCTGTTTTGTACCCCATTTGGAGCAGACAGAGGATACCAGAACAGAAAACTGAGAAGAACAAAGGAGAATCAAAGAAAAGGAAAGTTCAGTCAACACAGTAGGACCTTATTTAAATAATTCTGTGGCTTTTGTCTCTGTGGCTGTGGTGGGTCAGTGGTTGAAGCAGGGGTCTTGTAACTGAGTGTCTGTGGGTTTGATCCCCACTTGAATTGTCTATTTGATTTGGTCATGATATATTGTATCATTTTTCACTTTTATATTATGTTGGAGTTACTTAACTGAACTTTATTTTTTGCCCATTTTACCATTCAGGCGGTCCTACAGCCCGGGTGAACCGAGAGGCCAGCCGAGTCTGGGTGAACGGATCGGACGGCATCTGCAGCCAGTTTCTTAGGATCCACTGTGGGATGGACCTTTACAAGAGATCCTTCCTGCCTACAGCCATCAGCATCTATAACATCTCTTAATGAAATGAGGATAACGAGTTCAACAACAAATAATTTCCCTCTGGGATTAATAAAGAATTTTTGAATTTTAATTTTAATCTGGAGTATTATTTCAGAATTATTACTTTAAATTAAATTAGAAATCCAATTCAGAAAGCTGTGTGCTTGTCAGCTAAGTGTGGGAGGTGTCTGGTTCTGTGAAGACCGGGCTGTTTTCACGAGACACAACCTCCCTCTGAGGGAGAATAAAGGCAAATACTTTGTAGAAATACACCCCCCCCCCCCGCACACACACACACACACAACAATGAATTTAATATTAAGCAACATATGTCCATCCCCCCGCCCCCCACAATTCAATTCAGTTCATTTATATAGCGCCAAATCACAACAAAGTTGTCTCAGGGCACTTTACAGAAACAGTCACATACATAAAAAAGCCAATTAGTAAAGTTCTCTATCTAAGGAAAAATAAAAAAAAACTGAAAATTTTATGCAATTTGTAAACATTTGTGTGTGTAGTGATTCAGGAAATTAATGTCTGCCCCACTAATGTTTTTGCTCAGGAGCCGCCACTGCAGGCCTATCTGAACACAGCCTTAAAATGTGTTTGGACTGTGGGAGGAAACTGGATTATCTGAACAAAACCTGTGCAAACTCCATACAGAAAGCTCTCAGGCCCTGCCCAGGGCTTGAATCCAGGACCTTCTAGCTGTGAGGCAGCAGTGTAAACCACTCCTCCATTGTGTTGCCCAAACACAAGTGTCATAATCTGCTTTTTCTATTACTTATTTAGTTCTTTAGTCGCTGTTCTCCTCGTGGTTGACGTTATTTTCATTTACCTTGTGTATTTTTATTCAGCCCCGTGTTCCCTGTGCCAATTCTCATCTTCACCCTCCGTCAGCCTCTCCAGCCACTTATCATCCACACCTGTTCCCACCGTGTAATCACCCAGGTGTTGTCACTTTCTCATCACACTTCGTTTGATTTAATCCTTCCACGATCACCACCTGGATGTCGGTTCATCTCGGCTCTGTGCCAAACATCCTCCTCGTGCTCTCTGCTGTGTTCCCTCTCATGCTTCCTGTGTTTTGGTGCTCTTTGTATTTTTTTGTAAGTATTGCTGCCACGTCAACCCTTCACTTTCATTTGTTTATTTAATCAGTTTTGTTTTATTTCGTGTTCCCCGTGTCTGCCTGCACTTGGGTCCTACAGACTGTGATATAAAGATTTTATAAAGGATGCAATACATTTTTGAGATGACGCTTCATTTAGTTTGAACAAACCAACTGGGAATATTAAAGCTAAAACTGCAAACATATTTTGGGGAATGAGAGGAGGTCGCTGGTCAGGTTGCATTTAATTTGCCTAATCAGCACTGATTCACTGTGAATTGTATAATAAAAAACGATGGCTCTCAGTGTACTGTGGAGTTTTATGAATTAAAATCTTCAATCTTTGCTCAGTTTGGTAATTAAACCTGTTAACCCAACAACAAAGCAACTCAAATGGCTCTGGATCGTGTTTTTACAGAAACATCAGAGTCAGTAATTAACAACAGGTTGCAAAATCTATTAGAGAGACGCATTAACCATCAGGTGTGAATGCTCTCAATCAGAGTTGATCATTTGCAGCTGAATCACCCAAAATGGATATTTAACGATAAGTCTGAACAGCTTCTTAGAAAAATATCAGTAAACAGCTGCCTATTTAGTCATCCTGCAAAGAGCAAACTGCAACAATAACAATCATTTAGAAACATCTGGCTAATGTTCACAATAGACATTAGGCCCCTCTCTGGTGTCCAATATAAGCAGAAATATCTGATTCTTTTTGACTGATAGAACTTTAACGTGCAATTTAGAAGAAAATGATTTAACTATATAAATAGACATTGGGAGCTGCAGATAAAAGTTTGAAATTGCAGGATCTGCAAAAAAGGCATATTTAATAATTGCAAAGATGAATTGTTATGGGTTCTAAAGTAGTAGAATCTAAAAGAATTGTCTATAGTCTTGACAACACAACCTTTGAGTCTGATCTGGTTATATCACCACACAAAGAGCATTTTGAAAAATAATAGATTAGAGCTAAGAGATTAGTTCTCATGAAAGGTTTTCATTCATGCATTGTGTCCGGCACTTTATTGGCATGAGGAGCTCCTGCCCTGACTGAATCCTTCCTTTTCTGCTCTAATCTCTGCTGTGAACTTTGTTTTGTATTCAGCCTGACAGGCATGTGACAGTGACAAAGCAACGTCAGATGGTTGATCTCCACTCCATGCATTCATGAAAACCATAATTTGAAGAACTTTGCTGTAAAAACAGCAGAGGAAGTTTTGTTTGGCACAGCTCGGGAGCTCGGTTAATAGCCCGGCCACAGTCCTCCCCTATGAATCAGTGTGATGTGGTGAGAATGTGGCCAATGTGAGGCGGGGAGGAGTGAGTGCTGGGACGGGGCTCAGGGGTCAGCCAGAGCCACATCTGATACCAGGAGGACAAAACAAGAGCAGGGCCACAAAGGCGTATCATCAAACATGAATGACAAACCTTCCACACAAACGTGCTCACTGCTGAGGGACGTGTGGTGGTCCTGGAATATGTTTTACTGTCAAATTCAATCACTTGCAGCATTTGGAGCTGCTTAAAAATGTGCATTGTTTATATTAATAGGGCTACTTTAATATGTAAATAACTTTTGAGGAATTTAAACTAAACTTGCAGGACTTTGGCATCCAGTGAGAGGTGACGTTTGTTTATGTGAGACACTGTCTGAGTGGATACAGAGTGCCTAAAGTTACGCTGCAAGGTCAAAAACACAGCAGTAAAAAGTGTCATCAGTCAGTCATAAGCAGTATTCCTCCTCTCATATTCCTTTCACTCACTTCCAGTGGTACCACTTCACTCCGCAACACACTTCTTGTTGTTTTGGGAACTCTTCGCCGGATACATCCAGGATTTTGCTTGGGTGGTTTTCTTTAGAGCACAGCAATTTATGGACTAAAATAAACTTTCTCCTGGTTTGAGTCGAGCCAAAGCAAAGCCCTAAAAGAAAAAGGTGCCCATACATCAGCTTAAGAAAACATTAGTTTGCCTTGTCAAAAATTGAGGTTTCACAGCCACAAACTTGTCCAATTACGACAAGGCCAGAGAAAGTGACTACAGTCTGCAGTTTGTGCACTTGGCCTGTACCTCCTCAATGCTGCTTCACCTTTAGTTACGGAGTTCACACTAAGGCAATAAATCCTGTCTGTAGATGCATGTAGGTACACGTAAATACACCTTGTATCACACATGGACAGAAGCACACTGAAGCTCAGAAACCTCTGCTCAAAGTTTCAGGAAGATCAGAACTTATATTTTGTTTAATTCTCACTAGTTTAATGATGTCTTCCTTTCTCATATTTACCAGACTTCTTACATGCTTTTAAAAAGGGCTTTACAATCGGCAGTACAGGCATGTTTGTAGTTTTGCTTTTGCTCTATATGTGGTGGCAGCCATCTTGGATTTTGACCTGGCAACCCAATTATTGATAGTGACCATACTTATTCTTCATGCTTTTTTCTCAAGCTATCATGCTCACAACATGCAGGCATTAATGGTGGCTGCCATCTTGGATTTTGCCATGGCAAACCAATTTTTGAAAGGAACCTTTCTTATACTTAGATGTAGCCAAAAACCAAAATTAAAGTTTGTACCTCATTTATCTTTCAAGTTATCATGCTTGCAATATACGGATGGACAGACGGAGGGAGGGTATTTCAAGTGCACCCTCTTTGCTTCACAACGAAAGACAATAAGAACACTTGAAAGAAGTACAGTCAACTTTGTGCTACTGAACAATGAATTTAACCGTGTCATATTTTATCAGACTAAATAATTTATCATCTGACAGACGAAAATTGGTGATAATGTTTGCTTATGTCTGTCTTTATTTTTATGTGAGTTAGCAAAATATCTCATGTACCAGTAGACAGATTGTAATGAAACTCTCAGAAAGTAATCAGCGGATGTGCTTTTATAATTCATTAAGTTTTGTAGTCAACCAAATTAAATATGGCTGCCAGTTGATCAACCTTAGCCATCACATAAATGTCTATAACTCATTCAAATTTACATTGAGTGTGGTGGTAGCTGAGAGTCATCCTCAACATATACTCCAACAGCCAATACTTATCTTGAGTGCACGTCTTGGCCAGGCCTTTAGTTTGATATGTAATGGATTCTCCATGGTGGGTTGAGGGTTTGACAGCCTGCTTGAGACTGACGTCTGGACGTACCCGTCCTCCTGTCCTGCCATGGCTGACTGGGCTCATGTATAGCACGTTAGCAGAATGTGTTTATGATTTGATGAGAGCGGTTTACTCTCGGCGGTGCTCAGTGGCTGTTGTGGGAAACTTCCATGTTTCTGTCCAGTGAAATGTGGATGAGTAAGACAACTGTTTGGTAGTTATTTAAAACTCTTAAATTGCATTTGTTATACAGTTCTCTAATGGAGGATGGGCGAGATGGGTGAGTTTAATTTAGTTTGCACATGCTGCCATTGCACGGTGGCGCAACTGGTAGAGCTGCTGCCTCTCAGCGAGCAGGTCCTTGGTTCAAACCCCGGTCCAGGGGCCTTTTTGGGTGGAGTTTGCATGTTCTCTCCGAGCATGCGTGGGTTTTCTCCGGGTACTCCGGTTTCCTCCCACAGACCAAAAACATGCATGTTAGGCTGATTGGTAACTCTAAATTGTCCTTAGGTGTGAGTGAGAGAGTGAATGGTTGTTTGTCTCGTTTGTCTCTA